AGAGAGAGAGAGAGAGAGAGAGAGAGAGAGAGAGAGAGAGAGAGAGAGAGAGAGAGAGAGAGAGAGAGAAAGAGAGAGAGAGAGAGACAGAGAGACAGAGAGAGACAGAGAGAGCGGGGGAGAAGGAGGACAAATTCATTGAGCGATAGAAATACATAGAAATGCATCAATAACGACAAAGAGAGAAGGATTCATAGTGCTTCTGTTGCGGCATTGCCAGTCTATCAGTTTTGCTTCTGGACAGGATTCTTTGCACATGGGACACCCACTCTTTTTTCGTTTCTTTTTTTCCAATTTTGAGGTTTTCACCTATGTTGGGGGGTTCCACCTACACCTTTACCCTCCCTACCATGTGAACAGACACACCTACATAAGCCCTCTCTCAACCACATAGGGGCTGTGCACCACTGGCTCAAACCTTTATTAGAAGGGTTAGCAAAACTTGTAACAAAATTTAAAGAGGTACGATAAGTGGAGGAGGAGGGCAGCAGGAGATTCAGGCAGTCATACATGGTCAGACTGTAATGAACAAAAAGCACACTGACAAAAACAAAATTGTGGAGAAGTTTTCAAACAATAGCATAATGGAACGGATGGAGGCCTACCAATGGGACTAGCTCAGTTGGTACACCCATCAACTGTTGAAATACAGACCCAAGTTGAAATCCAGATGCAATCAGATGAACAGAATATAGTAATTCTGGATTACCTGGGGCCAGTAAGTTCACTGATAATATCGCAAGGCCGTCGACCTTTAACGACAAAGAAAACAAAAAAAGGGAATGGCTGGAAGCCTACCCAGCGCATGTGGCTGAACGGTAGACACATGTAAACTGTTAGTAAGCAGAACGCAAGTTCAACGATGGGAAAAAAAAAAAAAAAAAAAAGAAGTTCAAATCCTGATGGAATTAGGGGCTATCTAATTTCTATTCGAAATAAACGTACTTGCGGTGCATCCCACACGTGGGGTCGGGGCACATGCAACGCAGAGCACACGCGCATGCACACACGTGCACGTGATGCGGCGCATCACAGAAAAAAAAAAAAAAAAAAAAAAAAAAGGACAGGGTGGGGGGCCCAAGCATGCCCCTCGCTTCTAAAAATCAAGAAGCAAGAGGGAAAAAAGTAGGGGCCATGCCATACCCCAAAACTGTGGGCACATGTCTGTGCATGTGGGTGTGCATGTCCTTTTTTTTTCCTTCTTTTTTTACAAAATGCTCCGATCTATTGGTGGGGAGCCGCACCTGCTGGAAACCAGGTCCAGCATCCCATGATACTGTCACGGTACGTCCAGAATGTCAACACATTTGTCTGCCAGCCAGCATTGATTGCCCTGGCTTGCAGGGGATTAACTGAGCAGGATGTGAATTGGATGTGGTTTGCAAGAAAAGGATTGGAAGGAAAGAGGTCTCTTCGCCCTGCTGCATGGTGCCTAACCGTTCTTGTCTTCCTGGCCTCCTGCCTCCCTTTTGGTGCAGCGTTCTGGGATTCTGAGATGTCGTTCTTATGAGGTGATCAACCACCCCTCCCGGGGAGCACCAGGACTTGCTGTGTTGTCACGCAATGACCTCCATCAGGGCAAAGGGGTGGGGTGGGAAGGGGTCCGGAAAATCAGATGGGTCTCTCATCAGGAAGGACGGGTCAATGTTAGTCCAGTCGTTAAACACTAATCTGTAGTCTCTTACAAGTCCCTGTCCCGATGATGCAGCCTGGTCCCTTGTCCATTCAATACGAGCAAACCACCCTCCCCATTGTCCTCCCAGCCATTCTTTGCAAAATACCTCAATCGCCTTCTTGATATCCTGAGCTGTCTGGTAAATGTCTAGTTGAGATTTGAGGTCCCTCCATCTCCTTGTCAGCTCCAATTACATGAGTTCCTTTATTTGCCCAGTCAGTTCGTGTCCCTCTATTTTTACCCCTTCTAGGACAAGGAGACACCGCTGCCACCAAAGTGCCCATAACACCGACCGTCTACCCAGATTGAACAAGTTACTTGTAAAACGGGGTGCACTCTCTATTGCTGGACTGTGTCCCGCCAAGATAGCCTGCCATGACCAAGGCCGGGGAAAGTCCGGCACTGCTTTCCTCCAGATGCGATCCCACCAGCGCCATGTCAGTACTGCCACCTGACATCGCATGAATATGTGTTCGATGGTCTCATTCCGCTTCTGCGCTGGGAACACGGATAGGCATCTGTGGCACCATGGGAGTGCTTTCCCTTTCTGTTCCAGGTAGGTGTGGTCGATCAACCAGGCAATAGTTGGAAGGCAGCCGTGGGCAATCTGCCATTGCAAAGATGTGATTTTTGCCGGCCTGGTTTTGTTATTGTTGAACCACTTAATGGGTGTGAGGAGTGTTCTGTCCACATTCAGGTGTCGGGCCCATCTGCCATTGATTTGATCCCACAACACCCTCTTCGGACGAAGCATCTTGTAAGTAGATCTGACGGAGAGGGTGTGCAGTTGGATTTTTTTGTTAGACCTTGTTGTTGCTCTGCACGCCGTCTGCCACTGCCATTCTTGTGGGTCTATTGGCAGTTCGTGTACGGGCGTTTGAGGTTGTAAGACAGTAGGACCCTCTCCCTTGTCCAATACTCGCACTCGGAACACCTCCAATTTGTTCCTCCATTCGAAATTGTCTCGTGAGCATTGGAGTCCCCCCTTCACCCCAATGGTGTAATATTCCACTAATACGTCGGAAGTCCGCACCATGTGAATTTTTCCAATCCGATCCTCCTCCCCCACCAGAGCCACCCAGTCTCCCTCCTCTAGGGTAGGCCCACGCCTGAGGAGCCACCCAGTCTCCCTCCTCTAGGGTAGGCCCAGGCCAGGGGGATTGTTTCGAGTATCATTTCCATGTGTTCCTCCACAGTATCGCAGGGAATCTCGAAGCTGGGGTGCCGTTTTTCAATTTTTTCTTTCCTGGTCCCACAAGTGTCCAACCTGGAGCACCCCGTTTTTGACCCATCCTTTCCACAGGGCTGCTGAGCTGCGCAAGATCTGCCCATGGTGAGGGGCAATCCACCGATTGCCAAACAGCGGTTGTCGGTACACTTCCTCCCAAGGCTCTGGCAGCCGCTTCTCGGGCAGGGGTATCCTGCACCAGCTCTTCAGCAGGGTGGGCCAGAACATCTCCACTGCCTGGCCGTGAATTTTGCAAGGGATGGACCAGTAGCGATCCTCTATCCAAGTAAGCGGGTTGATTTCGAGTGGGGCGAGTGGGGCCAAGCGGGCATTGTGCTCCAGGGCCAGGATCCGCCAGGGGCTTTCTGAAGAAAAGATCAGCATTATCACCCACCTAAGTCGGAGGGCCTGTACCTGTATTGCTGGATCTATTATGCCTAGCCCTACTACGCTTTTTGGTTGTGTGATTGACTCCCATGCTACCCGACTAATGGCACTCACCCTCTTGTCGTCCCCCCTCCATAGGAAGGCTGCCACCTTGGCCCGCAGGGTCTGAAAGGCAGCCTTGCTTAGTGGCCACAACACCGATTTGTGCCACAATGCAGCGAACACCACATTGTTTATAGCCAGAGCTCTGCCAAAGATAGATGTATGCTTATGTCGCCAATTGGCCAGCTTGGCCAATGCCGGTGTGCAGATCCAGTCATCATTGGTTGGGGGGCGCCCTTGTGCAATCATAAAGACCCCCAGTATGCGAACCGGGGCGTGTAATGGAAGCCACTATGCGTTAGGGGAGTCGGATGGTCGGCTTCCTTGATGGTGAATCCACCATCACTGAGTTTTGCTTCCCCAGTTAACCACCATGTCGAACACTTGAGCAAACCTGTCCATCAAGCGGCGGATCTCTTCCATGTTCTCTTGTGTTGCCTCCACCATGATAGTGAGGTCATCCGCGAACAGCGAGCACACCAGAACGACATCCTCAGGGATTCGAGTGATCTTAATTCTTGTGATATCCTTATTTGTCCGCAGGTTGGCTGATAGAGCTTCCATAATTATGAGGAAGAGAAAAGGTGGCAGGGGGTCCCCTTGGCACACTGATCTTTCCAACTTGATTGGCGGGGCGACTTTCTTTTCAATATTCCCTAGTTTGAGTTAGGTACTGTTTGAAGGATGTGAGACGAAGCAAGGAAGTATTCATTTTGTAGATGCCAACCTTGGTCCGGCCTTTTTCAGAAAGTGAGTGCTATCGTACACATCTTATGATCTACTCCTGGATAGGGGCTTGGCGGGAGAATTGCTGTCATTGCCAGACTGCCTGCTAAATCTTCTGAGATAAGAATCAAATCAATCCTTGTCTTGGACAGCCTGGTCGGGTCGTGGTTCCTAACACACGTGAATGTTCGCTCTGTAGGGAATGAACGACAAAAGGTGTCCAAGAGGGACAGAGAATTGCATACGCGGCTAAGCATGCTCTCATCTTCCCCCACTTGGTTTAGGGTGGAGGGGGGAACTCGCCAACGATCCAGGTGTCGGTCGGGGGCTGCGTTAATATCCCTGGCGAGTATGATCGGGATACCTTGGGGGATTTTCGTCTGAATTTTTTGAAAAAAAGTTTCACGTTCCATCACAGTATTCGGGGCATAAATGCAAAAGACACAGACCACCTCTAACTCTAATGCCCCCAGCACATAAACCCACCGTCCCTCCTCCTTATCCTGTTCCCAATGCAGCACATCCAAACGGGAGTTTGGGGGAATCCATATCGCCGTCCCTGTCGTCGCTGGCCCTGGTGCATGTGCTATGTAGGCTTGGTATGACCAGACAGCTTTGTGCGCCCTATGATGGTCGGGGGAGTCCGTCAAATGTGTTTCTTGAACACAGACTATGTCTGGCCAGCTCCCTTATGGCTTGGGACTTGTCTGGCAGTGTGTGGCGAGTCCATTGACGTTGATGGATCTGAGGTCCAGATCTGCATTTCGCAGTGTTTTACGCCAGCCCCTATTACGACCGTATATTGCGTCTATCCCTTCCATTACTACCACACACCATATTCTCCCCCCTTCTTAGTCCGACAGTTGGTGCCATGCATGGTGGTCCCAGGCTACTCCTTCGTTGATGATATTCTTCCGGATAATTGAGCACAAGGCGGCGGTAGTGTCAGTATCAGACCAGATGTGACTAGGTTTGATCTTAGAGCATTGCAATTCCAACAGGGAATTGTGGGTTACCCAGGTTCGATCTGCCTCTTTTTTTTCATCGAAGAGGATATAAAGATCATTCTCTGCAATTCTACACGACCCTGAACCCACCCGTATCATGGCCTTGGCCCCTGCCTCATATTGGGCTGTGATAAACTCCTTTGCATCCTTGAGTCTAAAGCTACTCTTCCCTTCTGCATCCTGCTGCAGCTTCGATCCATGCAGTGTGACCGTCCCCCTGGTAGTCGTTTTCTTCTGACGGGAAGAGGCCCACTTCCCACCGACCATTTTTCTTTCTAATAGGGATCGCCAGGACCTTATCTCCCAAGGGGAGTGGGCCCTGGTGGAGCCCTTTCTCAATCAGGTGGCGCAGTCGAGGTTGACGAGGCAGCTCCGGTTCTTCACCATTCGGGCCCCCTTTCTGCAGCTGTGACACAAAAGGCGGGGAGTCGGGACCGGGCGGCGGGGGGGTCTCAGGCGGCATTGCAGGCGGGGGTTCCTGTGGCGGGGAGAACGGAGGGTGGGTGTGCATGTCCTAATTGTGTCCAATCTCTTTTCCAAAGGGCCCCTACAGCGAATTAGTGAGGACCCCACGTGGAGCAGAGATAGACTTTAGACTTCCAGTTTGAATGCGTGGGCCGAGAATATATAGTCCGGATTCGAATTCAGGTCTGTGCATCACCGTTATGGGTCACTAATTCTCTTTTTTCTCGTTTTTCTTTTCTTAGGAATACATGCAGTAGCCCTAAGGGCCTCTACTCACCACATGCACAAAAGACAAAACATACGGCGGCATTCATTCTAATTTTGCACATTTCGTGAGCAGTGCATCCACGCCCTGAGAATCACGTGCAGAGACCAACAGGGCCTAGCTAAGTGAGCAACCCATAACTGCTGAAACACAGACCTGAATTCGAATCCTGAGTATATATTCGCACAGCTCGTGCTTCACTTCATATTCACTGATTGCCTCGATTTCGGTAGACGGTCTGCGCTAAATTGCTGCGAGGACCAGATTACCTGCATGGGCCCTCTGATACGTGTGAAGGGGATGCGTTGCTCTCTCTCTCTCTCTCTCTCTCTCTCTCTCTCTCTCTCTCTCTCTCTCTCTCTCTCTCTCTCTCTCTCTCTCTCTCAAACCATTTAAAAATAATAATAATAATGAAAAATTGAGCGCATCACTAATTTGTGCATGGTGCATGGCGCACACGCACCGCAAGGTGCACAGCAGAAGTGTGCCGCAAGTATGGAAATAAACATACCTGCGGCGCATCACGATGCACGGCGCCACGCACCTGCGGCGCAAGCCGCACAGCGCAGGGTGCGTGCGCACCTGAGGCGCCGCACCACCGAAAATACAGCCCCCCCCAGAAAAAAAATTGGCCTGTCGGGGTGTACCGGTTCTCCCCCTGCAGGAAAAAATATTCCAAACGCCACAGGATTTTTTTGGGGGCCCCCGCCCTGGTCCGGAAACCGGGAAAAAAACAATTGGCGGCCTTCTTTCTCTTGGCACTCACGAGCCAACTTCGAATTCGAAGTAGTCTTTCGAAGTTGGCTCGTCGGCCCTGTTGTCAAGCCGCCGCGTGACGCTGCCCGCGTGACACCATGCCATTGCCATCGCCTGGAAGGCTGTGTGGAGGAAGAGGGAGACGAGGGGTGTGGAGGAGAGTGGAGGAGGTGGGGAGGGAGAGTGGAGGGACACTGTTAGTGGTGCAGGGAGACTGGAGGGACACTGTTAGTGGTGCAGGGAGAGTGGAGGGACACTGTTAGTGGTGCAGGGAGAGTGGAGCAGTGCAGGGAGATGGCAGCGATGAGAGCGCAGGAGCTCACACCGAGGAGAGCAGCAGCGGGCAGCGTCGATCACGTGGGTGGCCACCAGCCTCTCTCTCTCTCTCTCTCTCTCTCTCTCTCTCTCTCTCTCTCTCTCTCTCTCTCTCTCTCTCTCTCNCTCTCTCTCTCTCTCTCTCTCTCTCTCTCTCTCTCTCTCTCTCTCTCTCTCTCTCTCTCTCTCTCACACACACACACACACACACACACACGTCATCCCACCTTTTTATCTTTTTTTTTTTGCGTTGTGCCAATTATTTCAGGGCGGCTCTCCTTTCTCCACCCGCCGGCGTCTACGCCATCGTCCATCCCCTCCACCACCTGCCATCATCCATCCACTACACCTCCTGTAGTCATCTTCCTCCTCAATCTTCCACCTCCTCCCTCCTTCCTCCACCATCTTGCACCCCCTCCCTCCACCATCCTGCACCTCCTCCCTCCTCCCTCCACAATCTACCGCCTCCTCTTCCCGCTATCTTCTTCCCTCCCCATCGTCCCTGCCATGTTCCACTAGTTTTTACGGCTCTGCCTCCACAATGAAACTTCCCTCATCCCCTCCACCTCCCGCCATCATCTTTCTCCACAACCTCCTCCCTTCTCCCTCCTCCTTGCTCCCTCTGCCATCTCCCGTCCTTCCTCCCTCCACGTCAACCCAACTTCCCTCATCCTCTCCACCTCTCGCCATCTTCTTTCTCCCCCATCTTCCTCCATCCCCTCCACCTCCCGCCATCATCTTCCTCCCCCATCTTCGGCGTCCTCCCTCCGCCATCCCCTCCCTCCTCCCTCCACCATCTTCCATCTCCTCCCTCCTCCCTCCACCATCGTTCATCTCCTCCCTCGTCCGCTCCACCAACCACCATGCCCTCCCTCCTCCCTCCGCCATTTTCAACCCCCATCTTTCATTTCCTTCCTCCTCCCTCCAACAACCACCATCCACTCCCTCCTCCCTCCGCAATTTTGAACTGCCATCTGTCACTTCCTCCCTCCCCCCTCCGCCATCGTTCATCTCCTCCCTCGTCCTTCCGCCAACCACCATGCCCTCCCTCCTCCCAACCGCCATTTTTTACCACCATCTTTCATTTCCTCCCTCCTCCCTCCGCCATCGTTCATGCCCTCCCTCGTCCTTCGGGCAACCACCATGCCATCCCTCCTTCCAACCGCCATCTTTCATCTCCTCCCTCGTTGCTCCCCCAACCACCATCCCCTCCCTCCTCCCTCCGCCATTTTCAACCGCCATCTTTCATCTACTCCCTCCTCCCTCCGCCATTCACCATCTCCTCCTTCCTCCCTCGGACGGGGTGCACGATCTTCTTCCACCACACAATTTTTTTTTTTTTTTAATTTCGAATTTCTAACCTGCTTTAAATTTCCGTTCTTCGGTGGTGGGAGAGGGGCGTTGTAGAGTTGGGGGTGGCGGTGGCTGGGGGTCGCTGTAGAGTTTGGGGCGGAGGTGGGGTGGGGGGAAGGGGCTGGGTGGGAGAGGGCTGTCTGAGGGGGTTTTAGAGAGTTTTTGATGAAGGGGCTGACACAACCTTCGCTGTGGGGTTGTGCTTGCAGGACATAATGGAGCAGAAACACAATGTGACAGTGTTGAAGAGACACTTCACGGACCATGGGCCCCATGGCGCGGATCCGGGCAAGGGTCGAGGCACATTGCTGCATCTGCACCGAACCAAGGAAAAATAAAAAATAAAAAAAATAGTGGCGCACTACCAGCGCACCCCCCGCGCACCGGCGCACAGCGAACCCTAACACAGCGCACCGCACAGCACACCCCGCACAGCTGCGGTGCGCGCGCACCGGGGGTGTGCGCACAGCACACAGCGGCCCGCACCGCATTGCGCACCGCACAGGTGCACCGCAGGTATGGAAATAAACAAATAAATAAAAGATGGAAGAGGAGAAGAAGTCTGAAGAACAGAAAGGTGGATTGTGAAATGAGCCAAGTACTCGCCAAGTTCAACCTCACATACATCAATGAACATTCACATAAGAGTTCACACGTGAGAAGCCAGATCGAGATACAATCAACACTTGAAGATGTCGTCTCCAATATTATTATCAATATAGTAATATACAAGAATGTTAGTCTTCAGCGGCTCTGCCGCACACACACACAACGGATTTCAACCAGATAGCGGCTATGGCTTCTCCCCTCTCCTCTCTCCCTCTGACTTAACTCACTCTGCCTCACTCTCTCTCTTCTCTCTACCCTAGATCGTTACCCTTGATGCACCCACTCAGGCAGCTTACACCTTGGCGGCTATGGCCGCCTTCCTCCTGCTCTACATCTAGCCTATATATAGAGTATCTCACAGGCGCCCTCCTTCTTCAGGTGCACAGTGCCCAAGTTGCCGTAACGCACAAGCAGCAGCAGTGCTCCCGCATCTCGCAACTGAACAAGTGATGAGCCGCTGCACTGTAGCAGCTAAATACGGGACTTGGCTTCGCTGGGCTTGGCTTGACTTGGCCTGCTTCAGACCGGTACCGATTGGCCGCGGCCTGTCTGCTGCAAACATTTTGTCGGTCCGGTAGCTTCCGGACTTTCCTGGGACATGCTGCAAAGTTGCACTTGGGACTGTTGGACTTGACTGGACGCTTCTGGACTTTCTCGTCGGGTACCGGACGGCGTCCTACCGACCTACAACGCTTCGGTACTGACACCTACCGACCTATGACGCTTTGGCCTCTACACCCTACGGCCTACCCTATGGAACGGCCCTGGGACTTAGGACTTGTCGGGACCCTGGGACCGGGACTGGGTGTCTGCAGCGTGAATCCTTTCAATTGAGGGGGGGAAAAAGAAACTTTCCATACTTGCGGTGCATAGATGAAGTGCGCTGCGCAATGCACTGATCGCAGATGCGCTAAAAAAATAAAAAATAAAAAATAATAAAAAGAAGAAGAAGAAGAAGAAGAAGAAGCAGAAGCTGTGGTGTGAGTATACACGCTGGAGAGAGAGAGAGAGAGAGAGAGAGAGAGAGAGAGAGAGAGAGAGAGAGAGAGAGAAGAGCCCTTTCAAATTATTCAGACAACCCCTGCCGGTACTTTCAAAAAGTCCCTGCCAAAAATTGGCAAGGGTCCCATCTGCAGGAGAAGGGTAGTCACTGGACTTGTAGTAACGAGGGAGCAGGCCAGCTATATAGGGTGTAGCTTCAAATTCAGGTCCATGTTTCAGCAGTTATGGGTTACTGACTTACTAACTCGGCATGTGATTTTCAGGGCTCCACTCCACTACTCACCAAATGTGCAAAACTAGAATGAATCTTCTCCTACAAACTGGAACCATACAAACCACATGTTTTTCTTTTGTGATGAGTGGAGCGAGGCCCTAAGAAAAGGAAAAACAAAAAAACAAGACAGCTACTGAAGTGCTTGTATTACTTTCGTAACCCATAACTTTAGGAACACAGACCTGAATCCGAATCCAAGATATATTGCTGGCCTGCTCATGGTCTGGGACCCCTGCTGACTCTTTGCAGGGGATCTTCTGGAAAAGATGATAGCTCCAATGAGTAGTACAAAGTGGCCCCAAAATGTTTTTTTTCATACAATTTTCAAAAAGGAGGGGCGCTTTTGGTTACCGCGGCCTGCCCTTTTCTTTTTTGGATTACTTTGTAAATCCGCCGCATCACGTGCGCGCGGCGTGTGCATGGGCTATGCGGCGCATGTGCACAAATTGCGTGGACGTGATGCGCCACATGTATGGAACTTTCCTATTGTCACATACTTGCCAGTGATAAGCAACCGGACTGATGCCCCCCAGAATAGAAGGGGATTGTCAATGCTGAAAAAAAAATAAAAACAATCCGATTGTCGTCTTTTTTTAAGTTTTTTGAACTTTTTTCCATTTTCCTTTATAGATTTTCCTTTTTTTGTTCAGTTCCGTATATCGCCAAACAGAATAAATGTTAAGCTCTTCCCCTACTCCAATTTCTTCGCCTGCTCCACATCATTCCAATTCTATTAAAGGATGTCCTAATCATCGGCACAGCAACCGGAAAAAAAAAAAAAAAAAAAAAAAACTTAAAAAAAAATCCCTTCTCTGTCTTAAAAAATTACCTTTTCCGTTTTTTCCCCCGCCGATGCATCAGCATCAGCAACTCCCCGTTCCTGCCTTGCCCTCATCCTTCGCTGTCGCAGCTTCTCAATATCGAATTCCACAATGATCTCCGTCTTCTCCACTCCCTCCTCCTCTGCTGCTGCCTTCGTTTGTCTCCCGTCATTTCCCTCCGCTTCTGGTATTTCTTCAATACCTTCCGAACCAGAAAACTGCTCCGCACCAGGTGCTGCTCGTGCCCTCTGCATCCGTGCGAGAAAAAAAAAAAAAAAAAAAAAGCACCAAACCAAGCGTCGTCAACAGCGAAAAAAGAAAGGGGACAAAAAAAAGTCAAAAGCTGACCTTTCAACAGCAAATACTTGGGCAAAAATTTGCTCCCTGCTTCTTGTTGCTCTTTCAGGTTAAAAAAAAAGCACCAAAATAATGGTCCTGCAGGATCTACTTCTTCTCCTCCTTCGTGTAAGCTGATACCTCCGTATCGGAGGCACATGGGGAAGAGGGTGGACAGAGGGGAGGAGGGGGAAGGAAGGGAGGGGTTGGGGTGTGGGGAGGGAAGGAGAGAAGCAGAGGACCAGGTACTCCTTTTCCATAAAAAAAGTCGCCGGCCCAACGAAAGTTGATGCTTACAAAACGACAAAGAAAAACAAAATGGATGACGGCGAAAAAAGGGAGCGGGGATTTGCCCAAATGAGTAGTGATAACTTCAGAATGCTGCGTGCAACTTTGTTGCGCTCATTTTTGCTATGGCCATTCTTGCTGTCGCCATTTTTGCTGTGGCCATTTTTGCGTTCCGCATCTTCGGTAGTTGTCAATTTTGGACGTGGTCATTTTTTGGCCTTGGTCAGTTTCGCTGGAGTCGGTTTTGTTTGAGTTATTTTTTGGCAATAGCCACTTTTGGAATGGTCATTTTTGGCCGTGGTAGCTTTTGGCCGTGGTAACTTTGGCCCGTGGTAATTTTTGGCAGTGATCATTTCGCTGTGGCTGTTTATGCTGTGTTCATTTTTTATTTTTATTTTTTTAAAGAAAATTACGCTATAATGCTGCTATATTCTTCCCTCAATTTCGCCTTTGACTATCTACCTACTACTACTACTACTACTACTACTACTAAGCCTGTACCGGGGACCCCTGCAAGCATAGCTACCTCTCACACTTGACGGGATGCATGTTGGCCTCCCCCCTAATCGGTGGTGGTCAGGGAGTAGGGTGAGGCCGCCGGTGTGGGGGACTGCCCAACACAAAGACCTATCATTTTGCCAGTAGCTGCACCTCCCATCTACTACTTTCCCCACCCCCCATCGAGTAGCAGCACTGGCTATGGCCAACACTCTCCCACACACCACACACAAACCCACTCACGCTCACAGTCACACCCGTGTTACTCGTAGACCCTACTACTGTCTTCACCCGGAAAAAAAACGTACGCACATTGTATGCGCTACAACGTTGCAGGGTACACTGTATTCGAATACAGCAGCATACGTAGGTTATACCATCGAGTTTCAGGGCACAACTTTGCAGGAGCCTATAGTACCACCATCATTTTCTCAAGTTTGGTTGGGAATTTTGCCAAGACCCTCAGGCAAAAGTCATTTGCATTTCACTTTTGTGCAAATAATTGTGTTTTGGATTTTTGGGGATTTCTTTTTGAAAAATCGAAATTCTAAGGAAATCGGAAAACAGAATGTCCATGCCGTAAAAGAATACTTTTGCTCTCGTTTTTATTGTTTTCTCAAATTTGGTTGTGAATTTCGACATGACCCTCAGGCAAAAGTTTTTGTATTGCAATACCGTACAACATCTTGTTTTTTCGGATTTTTTTGTTTTTTTTTTAATAGAAAGTTCAATTTTCCAAGAATTTGAATAAAACGTACGTACATTGTGTTCTGATTTTTTGAATCAACGTACGTACGTTCTATTTGACCGTATGTGCTATTCGGAAAAAAAATCAGCGCTTTCTGGGGACCCATTTTTCAGAGGTAAGTTTAATATCAGGGGTACAAGTGGACTATCACAGTAGTACCCATCAGGGGTATCAAGCGGACTATCACAGCTGGTTGCCACTAAGTGCACCACAGGCGATCATGGGGATCGAACCCGCAACCTCCTGAATGCCACTTGCGTGCCTAACCAACTGCCGCTGGATGCTGTGGTCATTTCAAGGAGGGGGTACTTTCATTGAAAAATTGCCACAGCAAACTAAAAGGCAAAGGGGCTTGTGAATTACTAGTGCCAATACTCGTACTCGCAACACGGACTTTCCTGAATGCACCTTCGTACATGGACACCCAGATGCAGTGGGGGCGAAAAAAAAATAGCCCAGAAAAAACTTCAAAAAAGGAAAGAATTCACAGTTTCAATTGGCTGAGAAGTTAGAACACAGACATTCTCAGATCATTCGCACACTGGGACTTCTCTGGATGCATCTGACCGCGATTACGGTCAGGGGAAAGAAACTCTGGATGTCTCTCGCACATGCAGATAAGATGTATTTGGGGGGGGGGGGTGGCAAAAAAGAAAGAAAGAAAGAAAGAAAGAAAGAAAGAAGATGTGCCTGCAATGACTTGCTGATTTCTGCTGCCGAGATCTGACTGCGAGGTTGTATAGTTGCGTCTTAGGGTCAGAGTTGTAATTCTGTTTGTGTCAGGGACTAACCACCGGTTCAGTCCTGAGGGAAATTCGTGAGGGACATATCTGCAATTTACACGAAAATTGCAGGCCCGAGTTCCCCTTAGCTGTTACTGCCCTTAGCAGACCCGGGCTATCACTAGGACAGCAGGCCCATCTGGGCCTTGGGCTGTAGAGACGGTCTAGACGTCGTATAGCCGGGTAGGGCCCAGGCCGAGCAGGCCAAACTGATGGGCTACCGGTCCAGTAGGTCTAGGTCTAGAGGAGGCTAGTCTATTAATAGGACTGAGCCTGTAGTTGAGGGAGTTTTGGGCTTTTCATTTTTGCGATGGAGGTTGTGAGCCAAGCAAGTTGGTGGTGGTGATTGTCTACAGGCGGCATCCTGAGACCCTCGCCGTGGACGGCAGCCATAGCCAGCCTTCTGGAGGTTGCCGTAGCTGGGGCATCCACAGCGCATCTACCCCTGGGGGTATCTGCGTCTGGCTGGGCTAGACCGAGGCTCTTCACTGGGCACTCGTGGGTGGACCACTGACGCACATCTCGCGTCTGGAGATATTAGGGCTGTGTCAGTGGTGCGGCAGCCATAGCTGCCTGTTTCCTCGTCAGAGTTGTTCATCGGCACTGAAGACTTCATCCCGGGACCTGTTCTTCATCTGGGCAGTTGGCGCTGGCCTCTGGGAGGCCTTCTCAGTGTTGCGCTACTAACTGGGTGTAGGGTAGACAGTGGAGTGTGGAGTTCTGAGGGTGGCGAAATACTGAAACAAACTCTGTAACAATAATTGGTTCGAGTTGGCTCATCACCAGTGTAAATTCTATTGCTATCCTCGCAGGTGTCTTCTTGTGATTGGTTGTTGGGAGTATTGTCAGAGAGTGAGAAATACTGTGCGTCTCTCCCCATCTGTGCATGGTTGTGTTTCGCTGCTTATTTTGATCTGTGTGCAGTTTGGACTCTGTCTCCTCTCCCCCTCATCTTATGCATGTATGGGCGTGTATGAGATTGTCTGTGTGTGAGTGGCGGTGAAAATCGCCAGACAACCAAATTCATAACATGCCCATACGTACACACTTATGTCCCAACCTCCTCTCAACACTTTTGTTTGCTGTCAATTTATTTTTTAATGGCATAAAAAAAAAAAAAAAATTGGAATCCCCCCCCCCCCCCC